GAGAGAGAGAGAGAGAGAGAAGAGAGAGAGAGATGAGAGAAGAGAGAGAAGAGAGAGAGAAGGAGAGGAGAGAGATAGAGAAGGAGAGAGAGAGAGAGAGAGAGAGAGAGAGAGAGAGAGAGAGAGTAAAGAGAGAGAGAGAACGAAGAGAAGAAGAGAGAGAGGAGAGAGAGGAGAGAGAGGAGAGAGAGGAGAGGAAGAGAGAGAAGAGAGCGAGAAGAGAAGAAGAGAGAGAGAGAAGAGGAGAGAGAGAGAGGAGAGAGAAGAAGAGAGAAGAAGAAGAGAGAAGAGAGAAGAGAGAGAGAGAGAAGAGAAAGAGAGAGAGAAGAGAAGAGAGAGAGAGAGAGAGAGAGAGAGAGAGAGAGAGAGAGAGATAAAGAAGAGAGATGAAGAAGAGAGAGAGAGGAGAGAGAGTAAGAGACGTGAAGAGTGTGCAAAGTAGATAAGTAATAAGAAGAGAGAGGGAGGATAGTAGAAGAGAGAGGGAAGAGTGGAGGAGGAGAGAGAGGAGATAGGGAGAGAGAGAGATGATAAGAGAGAAGACAGGAAATAAGTAAGGGAAAGAGTAAAGGAATTACGTTGAAGAAATAGAAGAGTAATAAGAGTCAGAGAGAAGATGAGAGAGAGAAGAGAAGCCGAGAAGAGAGAGTAGAATGAGAGAGAGAGATGAGAGAGAGAGAGAGAGGAGAGAGAGAGTGAGAGAGAGAAGAGAGATAGAAGAGAGATAGAGAGAGTAGGAGAGAAGTAATGAAGGAGTAGAGATGATAAGTAGACGCAGATGAGAGTAGAAGAGCAAGTAAAAATGAAGTAGGAGAGAGTAGAGAGAGATATAAGGTATAAAGAGAGAGAGTATAGGAAGGATAGGAAGGAGAGACGGTAGTATATAGATTGAAAGAGGTTCAAGAGAGAGAGAATTGCAGGCGAGAGGAAAGAGAGAAGAGAGAGTAAGAGAAGAAGAGGAGAGTAGGATGAAGAGAGGAGATAGATAAGAAGTAGAATGAGGAGGAGAGAGAAGAGAGAGAATAGAAGAGAGACGAGAGAGAGA